CCCCCGATAAGCGCCCATCGACCATTATACGGTGGCCACGTAGTTGGCCTAAATAATATTTCAATGAAACGCCAATCGTCTTTTTCTAATGTATACCATATTGAAGCTAATGAAACGTTTAACAGATCTAATACACAAGCACGTATAGTTTCGAAGACTTTTAAAACAAAAAGTCAGCTAAACTTATCAGTAGATGATGTCATATAGCTTTGAACGTTTACTAAACTTTGAGGTGTGAATTTATTATGTTGTGATTTAAGTATAGCGAGAAAAAAGTTTTTGTTAAGTAGCTAGTGTTGTTCGTAATATATGGTTATATTATTTTCATTATAGTTTTGCTACTACGAACTCGTTTTCACAACATTTAAATTAGTCCATGTGCCTAGCCAAACAAAACTGTTGCAAAAATCGTTGTAGATTTTTAAAAATAAGAATTATTTCTGCTGAAATTTTTCTTTTGCTGGGAGAAACTATCGTAAACTATTGTTATATGATAAAATAAGATATAGACTGTGCTCTAAATAAATCTAAATAACAAAATTTTAAGACGATGTCTAGTTTAACCGTGGTACGGTGGCAGTACGCCCTGAATTCTGAATTCATTATGGCGGCGAAATATAAATTTACAACTGAACATAGAACCGTTGAGACGCCTAAAATATTTATAGACTAATAAATTCTTATTTAAATAAAAAAAATATTGCAGCTTTAATAAAGCTAATTGCTTGTTTATTAATTAAGGTATGGTTACAAATTAGATGTAATAGGTATTAATTGGGAAAACGTATCTACTGTAAGGATACCTATTTTATGTACCTATGTTATTTTATTTTTACCCAAAGATTAAATACTTAATTTTTAAAATTATTTTCCGATTTATTTATATAGCAGGATAAAAAATATAGTGTGATATTATTTCAATGTGTCGTAAGTATTTCACTCTGATATTTTAAGAGAGAGATTGCGCAGGGTTTGCATTGTACCTATTCTGTAAACACGCGTTTATTGCCCTGGTTGCAACGTGACTCTGTTTTACTTGCTTTGCGCAACATCACGCCACTAAATAATAATTTTAAGCTTTTAGACCGACTTCTAAAAAAAGGAGAAGGTTGATGTTTTTGTATTTTGTTTTATACTTTTTACAATTTTTTTTATTATTATACAATTACTTTGTCTTTGTTTCATTTTCTACAAGTCAACCCACAGAAACCGTTTTAAGAAATTAAAAAGAATATTTTGCCTAGACTTTGACCACCTAATCCTGGGCCCACCCTACACGTGTCCCCCGGGTGGTGCTAAATGAGCGAAAAGCGGATAGCACAGACTCGGCTCCTCGCCATGGTAGCGGCTTTAAATATACCACCCCATTCGCACCATGAGGAATCAAATTAAAGAAATGGCCCCGAGTTCCCGGCGCCCTTTAATGGGGCAGGGGCGCGAAGAATCTCCGGGAGGAAAACCGGCGACGAGGCTCGCCACCCGTCACGTTCTGTCTCCCGGAGGGGCGAAAAGTGGATTGCAGAGGCCCGTCTGGCTACGTTGAATGTATGTGGAGCAATGAATGATAAAATGGATGAAGTATGCGAGGTGATGTATGATAGAGGAATAGATTTGTTATGTGTAAATGAGACGAAACGGAAGGGGAAGGATGTCACTACACATGGCATGTATACCGCATACTGGTCTGGTGTAGACGAGCTCGAGCGGGCATGCCAGGGAGTAGGTATCATCCTATCAGAAAGAATGGTGCAATGTGTGAAAGAGTATGAATGTGTAAGCCCAAGACTGCTATGGATACGATTGAAAGTGGGCTTAAAGAAGTTGTTTGTGCTAGGGGTCTACGCCCCAGACATGTCTAAGCCCACTCATATCCGAGAGCAGTTTTGGGAAATGGTAAGGATGGTATTAATGAAATGTAAGGGAAATGAAAATGTTGTTATGCTAGGAGATTTTAATGGAAGAGTTGGGGTGAGGAGGCTTGGTTATGAAAGGATATTGGGAACGTTTGGTGATGAAAGTATAAATGAGAATGGTGAAAGCCTCCTCACTGTATGTATGGAAAATAATCTTTTTGTGACGAACACTTTCTTTCGCCACAAGAGGATTCATATGTACACTTGGGAAAGAGGTGATGATAGAAGCATGATAGATTTCATAATTGTGGATGAAAGATTGAGGGGCGCAGTTGTGGATACAAGGGTTTACCGGGGGTCAAACGTAGGAACGGATCATTTTTTGGTTTTATGCCGAATTAATGGTCTATTCAGGCGGTGGCGCCATCGGTCATCTGTGTCTACCACTGCGTTACAGCGTATTAGAACAGAAAGATTACAAGATGAAGGTGAGAAAAACAAGTTTAAATGTAGACTGAAAGAAAACGTAAGTGGTTTGGATGAATTATGTATGAATGAGTTAGACTTGGAGAATGTATGGCAAAATGTTAAGAAAGGTTTAGTAGATGCAGCTACCGAAGTATGTGGTGTTAGTAAAAGAAAGAATGAAAGGAAAAATAATACGTTATGGTGGGATGATGAGACACGTACGGAAGTTGAAGCAAAGAAGAGAGCATGGCTAGATTTACTAGCAACTAAGGCTGGTAATTCTAGCGGTACGAATGATGATTTTGAAAGAAAAAAGGCAGTCTTTAGACATCTAAATAAAAGAGTAAAAGAAGTAGTTGAAAGGAAAAAGCAAGAAAGAACGGACAAGAATGATAGAAGAATATCGGATAACTTCCAGGCAAATATTAAAATGTTCTGGAAACTCGTAAGAACTGCCAGGGGATGTTCAAAACAGCCTATAATGAATGCTATAAGAGATGAGAATGGCTATATTCTGAATGATGAAGTTTTGAGTTTAAAGAGATGAAAGGAATATTTCGAAAGCATGTTTATGAGTGAGGAGACAACGTATGAACTGAATGAAATAGGAACTCCGAAAGAAGAGGAAGGAGGTAGCGAGATAAGTATAGATGAAATAATGAAAGCAATGAAAAGCATGAAAGCAGGTAAGGCTGCCGGATATGATAGAGTTTCACTCGAAATGCTAAGGGCTGGAGAGGAAGTGGTGGCAGGCCTTGCTGCACACCTTGTTTAATTTATGCTGGGAACTGAAGCGGGTACCGGTAGACTGGTGCAAAGCCGTGATAGTCCCAGTACATAAGGGAAAAGGGTCGCAGCAGGACTGTAAAAACTACCGCGGTGTCAGCCTTCTTAGCATCGTGGGAAAACTGTATGCCAAGGTACTAATTGAAAGGGTCATGAAAGAAACCGATGGAAAAATTTGGGATGTGCAAGCGGGGTTCAGAAAGGGAATGGGATGTACAGATCTAGTCTTCTCCATGCGCATGATCGCGGAGAAGTTTTTGGCCAAAAACCAAAAGGTTTTTTGTGCGTTCATGGACTTGGAGAAGGCCTATGACAGAGTGGATAGGAATGTGCTATGGCAAACACTGAACTCATTTGGGTTGAGCGCTGGCTTGATACAGGCATTGGAATCTCTTTATAGGGACTCTAGTGCTTGTGTTAGGATCAACGGGGTCTACTCGGACTGGTTTGGCATCCATAAAGGTGTCAGACAGGGCTGTGTGGCTTCCCCGTGGTTGTTCAACCTATTTATGGACAGTTGTTTGCAAAATTTGAAAGTTGAAGAATGCGGATTAAGAAATTTTTAACCATCAAATGCCTTTTGTACGCCGATGATCAAGTTATTCTTGCGTCGTCGGCGGCTGAGTTGCAAATGATGGTTACATTAATGAACAGATCATTAAAAGAAAGGGGTATGAAAGTGAACGCAAGTAAGACAAAAATTATGGTTTTTAAAAGAGATGAAAGTAAAACGATATGTGAAATAAGAGTAGAAGGGGAGTTGATCGAGCAAGTAGATGAGTTTGTATATTTGGGTTGCGTATTTAGCAGGGATGGGAGATATGATAAGGATATAGAACGACGAGTGAACGCAGGAAACAGAGTAAATGGAGCCCTGCACTCTATTGTGAAGAGTCAAAATGTGTCAAAAAGGCACGTATGGCAATTCACAATGCTGTGTTGGTCCCTACCTTAACGTATGGTAGTGAAAGTTGGGTATGGCAGAAGAAGCACGAGAGTAGAATAAATGCAATAGAAATGCGGTCGTTAAGGAGTATGTTAGGGCTGAATCTGAATGACAGGGTGAAAAATTGTGTGATAAGAGAAGAGTGTGGTTTGCAAGATGATGTTGTGACCAGGATTAAGAAAGGAATGCTTCGGTGGTTTGGTCATGTGAAAGAAATGGATGAGGAAAGAGTGACAAAGAAAATTTATGTTGCAGAAGTGTATGGCAGAGTCGGAAAGGGACGTCCTACGCGAAAATTTATCGACCAAATTGGCGATTTATTGAAAACGGGCCAAATTAGGAGTACCCTTAACCGACGAGCATGCATGCGTAGGTGTAAGGATGTGAAGGAGGCGAGAGAGGTGTGTCAGGATCGTGCCAAATGGAAGTCTGTAGTCTCTGCCTACCCCTCTGGGTGACAGGCGTGAGTGTTTATCTATGTTTATGTAAACATAAATTAAAAACTACGATGAATTTAATATAATATATACCTTTACAAATTAAATATATATATATATATAATATAAAACTTATGCACTAGGAAAAAACATAATTCAATATCAGTTACAAGACTCCACAGAATTAGTAATTCATTTTTGTGGTAAAGTATACGCTTTTACAACAAAATCCCAGAAAACGTACAAAATTTGTCATTAACCCATATATGCCCAGAACTATGTTTTTATTTGGTTCCTTATTTGCCTCGTGATTCGAAAACGAATCAAAAATTAAGTTTTAGTAAAAGTTCATTATCTTCAGCGTTTCGTTCGGAAAGTGCATTCTACCGCCATCTATGGCAAGGTGAAGGTATTATCTTGTAATGGTAATTGAATGTGTAAACTAAACAAACGTGATTTTACCGTAATGAGTCAGTGCAAGTTGTGACCAGTTTACAGCGTGCAGAAATCATGGCGACTTTCACAAAAAAGTAAGTAATTATCCCAATTATCTCTAATTTAGAGGTTTTTTGTAATTTATGTTAAAGTTACGTAGTTTGAATATATTTTTGTGTAATTGTATAAACTATATGGTTGTATTCAAATACCTAAAAGCTGTTTTTAAAATCAGTGTTTCGAAAACGATACACTGGGCAAATATACGTATGTAATATACAAATAAACATTTTTTTATTTCAGATGGAGCAGACCGTTATCGACCAATGAAATAGTTGATATTGTCCATAATTTGGATTTGGACGATAAAGCGACGGGTATAGATATTTATATTGATCCCCCCGGAGATGGATTAGTTTCCGACTCCGATTCGGGTGACGAAACAAATGTAAGTTTTGACAATTTATTACGTAGACAACTTCTGGCTCCTGCTGAGCTGGTGCTTCATGGAAATAAAGACAATGATAACAGCGACTCAGAAGAAGATCTTCCGCTTTCAGCCTTAGCTAGTCGAAACACAGCATCAGACTTGCCTTTACCGAGTCAAACAGGACAGCCACAAGCCCGTTAGTGGGTAAAACGAGATTTATGTAGGATGGATAACGAGTGGATTTTCATGATCAGTGATGACCGTATCAGATGCGTCGGACCCAGTTGATATTTTTGAATTATATTTTAGTCACGAAGTAATCATTCATATTGTTCGTCATACAGTTATGAATGCTGTAGAAAAAGGAAATATGGCGTTTACCTTATCTGATAATGAAATATATTGCTTCGTCGGCATTCTTATATTGACAGGTTACTGTCCACTGCCGCGACGACGTATGTATTGGGAGAGTAATGAGGATACACACAGTTTGTTGGTAGCTAAATCTATGCGACGGAACCGGTTTGAAGAAATTTTGCGATACTTCCATGTGGCTGATAACTCAAATTTAGCGCCAGGTGACAAAATGGCCAAAGTGCGTCCCTTGTTTGATATGCTCAATAAAAAATTTTTACAATATGCCGTAATTGAAAAAAATATTAGCATAGATGAATCTATGATGCCCTATTACGGCAGGCATTGGTGTAAACAGCACATAAGAGGAAAACCAATCAGGTTCGGTTTTAAAACTTGGGTAGCAGCTTTGCGACTGGGATATTGCTTGCATGCTAATCCTTACCAGGGTAAATCTGAAAGAGTCAGAACCGGCTTAGGCCAATATGTCGTAAGTAAACTTATGACGGAGATCAAAGCTGCCTACGACGATACAAATTTCTCTGTGTATATCGACATTTTTTACAGGGTTACCGCTAATTACTGAAATGAAAGAACAAAATGTTCTAGTGACGGGTACTGTAAGAAATAACAGAATAGAAAAGTGTCCTTTGAAAGATGTCAATTTATGTAAGAAAGAACCGAGAGGTTATCACGATAGTCAGCTGGATCAAAAAAGTGGTATTTATGCTATTCGCTGGCATAACAATAATGTCGTGACATTTTTATCGAGTGAATACGGCGTAGAACCTCTGAGAACAGCAAGTAGGTATTCAGCCGCGCAAAAGGCAAGAGTGAATGTGCCACAACCCGATCTTGTATATCAATACAATTGCTACATGGGTGGAGTGGATCGTTTAAATGATAATGTAGGCACTTACAGGATTGCAATTAGAGGCAAAAAGTGGTATATCCCCATAATTTTCTGGCTTATTGATGTGGCTGTAAACAATGCAACACTTCTCACACGACAAATGCGCAATGATGTAGACACACTAGAATTTCGGCGTAGTATTGCTCGAACCTTGCTCCAAAAGTACGGCATTGATAAGCGGCGGCCGGGTCCTTCTAGAAAGATATCTACGACTGTACCTCCCTCAGTCGAAAATGTAATGCTGAGCATATGATCGGCAGAGCACCAAGCCGCCTGCGTTGTGCTTATTGCAAAAGCTTGACGGTAACTTCATGCCAAAAGTGTCAGGTTAACTTCATGCCAAATGTTTTATAGCGTTTCATTTCTAAATTGAGTTCCTAAATACGTTCCTACTAAATTTTGCTTAAATCTTTTGTTTGATAGTATTTTATATTTATATGAATATGTCATTTATGACACACAGAAAAATGTTGATGTTTCTTTACTCATAATAATTGTATGGAAATTGCCCAATGTTTCGTTTTCGAACAATTAAAAAAAGTTACATAATGAATTTCTACCTTCATGATACTAATTATAACGTTATTAGAAACTTATTACCACTAACATATCCAAAATTTAGTGAAATCGGAAGTCCAAAATATTTCTGGGCATATAGAGGGTATTGATCGTTTTCGAATCAGTGGGCAAATATGGGTTAAACGAGTTTAAATGTTTTAATTAAGAAATTTTGTGAAAAAGGGTTATTATAATATGAAAAATACATAAATGAAAATAACCGTCACCGTGCTGATTTTATAAAAAAATATTTTAAGTTTTTACAAAAAAATATTGTAAAGAGCAATACGTACATAAAAAGGTTCCACTGGGTTTCCTACTTGTTCTTCCCGCGACAGAGATATTTTCCGAACCAGTGGTAATAAAAAAGTACTTCCAATAAGTATTATAAATTAATTTATATTGAATAAAAATATCATTCAGTGCATTTTTTTTCTACTGAAACAATTTGTTTATGTTTGGGTAAAAATAATAATTGATAGCGTTTAATGTGTGCTGTAACGATGTTGTTCCAAAAATTTAAAGCCCATTATTTTACAGTCGCCATCGCCTAGATACCTCCTTTGGCACCAATGAAATTTTCTGCAAAATCGTCACCATTTTCATCAATTTTACACTCTTTAATTATTTTGGAGTTGTATTTTGCTGTCATAATATAAACGATAATATTTTCTTGTCTATTATATAAACATCTTTGTCTTAGTAATCAGTCAAAATTCTAAAATCTGTGGATAAGACTATTCCAGCTGATGGGAATACCTTGGATATTTTGCCGTGACTGTTTCGTGCGATTCCTGTCATGTGCTGGATCTAGCAGCAAAGCGAGCGCATATTGTTTGGAATTGCAATCCTCAATCAGTCAAAGAATACGTCTTTGACTGATTGACGAACCAACTGAAATATAATATTTCATGCATTGTATATACGCCTGGTGATGATATTGATATTAATATATTTGTATCGCTCAGTATCTCTGCTTTTTTTCTATAATGTTTATTAATATTCATCCAATAATACAGTTCAAGTAATAAATTTGACTTAGAATATTTGTTGTTTTAAATTTAATTTCTATCTTATTTCACTTTCTCACCTCCAACCTTTTCTTCTTGTAGAGCAAGTAGGTACAACGATGACTAAAATTGACTCTCCTTTTTTATAGGATAGGGTGACAAATGAGCACACAGTCCACCTGACGATAAGTAGTTACTGTGACCCATAGACTTCTACATCTATCCTCGATTACGAATCAAATGCAGATGCGTTGTCACCCGTGAGGACTAAGATGGAATGCCTCGTTTCCAGTAAAAAGGGTCTCCAATTCTCTACACTCACCATACGAAACACAGTAGCATTAAGCTACTATTTGAGAGTGGTCCTTCCCCGGTCGAGCCGACCCATTCGTGCGACAACTATACTACAAATATAATTGCAGCATGGCTCTACCACGTAAGAAAAAAAATCGGTACTTTAAACTCTGTTTTTAATTTTTGAGTATCAACTCAGAAAAAATCCTCTCACAAATAAACTTATTTTTATCGTCTTGTCATCTTTATTGTATGTTTAGTTGGATCAAAAAACCTAACAAACTATTAAAAAAATGCTCAGAGCATAATTACAATAAAATATAATAATATATACTTATATGATTTTTATGATAGTAACGCGAATAAAACAACAGGTAAACCTACAACGCTGATAACCAATTATTTCGTTTTAAATCCTTATATTAAATGGTTTTCAAATAATATATTTAACAAAAAAATGCTATTGAAGTTATTTACGAAATAAAAGTAGTTACATCCTTACATACTATTAAATAACATTAAAGAAAGTAATAATAATTATTAATTATAATATATATTTTGTAGTAAATATAAGGTAATAAAATAACTGCACCCCATCGTAAAAAGTTATTTTTCCTATTGTAACCCGCATATTTGAGTACTTTAGCTGCTTCATTACCATTGAAGTTTTGTTTCTTACTATATTAAGGATAGTTTGACTGAAACCATATATTTGAATTTCTATATTATGATTGAGATATTTGAGCAAGATCGATGATCACAAGATTTTACCAGCTTTGGATGGTCCAAGATTAATCATTATTTTGGATATTTCAAAATATTTGACCTTCCTTTTGATGCTGATTGTCGCTGTCTTCAGGCTATCAAACTTCATTGTTAAGTAAAATCAACGGGAACGCCTCCGCTTTGTCCTGCCCACCAAGTCATTTTGGGTGGGCATAGCATATCTTTCTCTTTTATATAATACCTAGAACAATTAAACTTAATTTGAAAATTGAGGTTGGGAAGATGTGAGCATACAGTCAGTCTTGTGCTTACTATTTCGCCCACTCTGCATGCTGGTAAGCAAGTGTTCCAAACTTAATGATAAGACCCACATTTTTAAGTCTGTATTCAAAAATCTTTTTTTAATTACTTGAAGTGACAAAAGAACTATCCGTCTACCTAATGGTTAATGGCTTAAGTAGCCCATAAATATTTGACGCCGAAGATCAAGATATAATGTATCATAGCCTGTAATTATACAGGTTTTCTACACCCTTCAGATTGGAATATAACATTACAGGCATTATTGTTTGACGGCAGAAATAGGTGAAAGTGCTTACCCAAATGGAGTCTTAGACAGAAAAGAAGTTGTGACATCTAGTAAAAGTTAAATAAACCTATTTTAGACGAATAAATAAATGAGATGGTCAAAATATGCCCCAAGCTATATAAAAATAAGACTAATTCTATTAAAATAAAAAAAGAAATTTGAGTAACTATTAACATTTCATAGCAGCTGTTGAAAAATAATCAAGTTTAAAAGTATTTGAAGTGATTTCTTCTCTTTGAAGTCACTCTACAGCACATTTAATGTGGCCATATAATACTTAAAAAATATTAGAGTAGGGAAAAACAATAGCTAAACTTATAAAAATAATTTATGATATTTTATCTTTTATATACAAACCTTCAATTATTGAACTAATACATAAAAATAATCAAAATACATTAAAGGAAAGAATTTTATTTATTTGTTTAAATCAACAGCTTAAACATGTAGCGTTACATTATAAGGTAGGGTTCTTTTACTTTAGTACTTGCAACACTGAATCCGTCCGTCAAGCATCACAACAGTCAAAGTGTCAAAGTCAGACTCGATATGATTCACGTCTACCGACTTACGCGCCGTTTTTTGTTCACAGAATACTTTTTGTATACCTGATTTTTGGTATAAGATATATGTACGCTTTTCTTTCGTATTTGTGTTTTATCGTATTTTAATTTTATTTAATAAATGCCGTAGCCAAACGCGAGTGCTCCACTAATTATAAACGGTGTAATACGTAAGTTTAATTATTTTCTGTGTA